TGAGTACAAAACATAGAGAGGAAAACAAGAAGAAAAGGGACAAGAAGAGAGGGACACAACCTAGAACAGATAATGGATGTCTATTCTATTAACATTTCTACATCTGGAGAATGGCGCTGCTTTATGTGTTTTCTCAATTCAGGGGCCCCTGCCTGTCTTTGCCTAGGGCCCCACATTCCCTAAATCCGCCCCTGAAGTTTTATGTAAAAAAAGCTTTTTCTTTAGACTCCCCACCGCAGGATGGCGCCACCACACCGGATTGAGTGGAAGGAGGTGTTATGCCGAAAAGCGCGTGCCTGCTGAGAGTTGCCTCCCCTGTGGCGGGAACGCGCACCGCACTAAGTTTGAGAACATATTCTTAATGTTTTATATTTCTAATGGTAAATGCCCTAAAATGCAGATTTTTGGTGGACAGATATGTTCTCTGCTCAGCAGATAGTGGTTCAAAACCTTTCTAAAACTATACAACAGCAAGAGATTTATTTCTGTTTAGAGAATCAAGTAACATTATGAGAATAAAGTCATAATATTAGGAGAATAAAGTTGTATTTTATGACATCTCTTACTAGAAGCAGTGTTTTCTCTGAAAACTGCACAAAAAGCTTCTCCTGCCTATTTTCTCCACTAAAATAGAAACTCCTTAAACTGCATTTCAGGACATCCAAACATAAGAAACATGAAAACAATAAAAATATGATTCAAAGTTCATATTTTAATCCGTTTTCTCCTCCATGTGAGAGTTTAGGGCGATGCGCGCTCCCGCGCCAGTATTTGTCGGCAGTCACGCGCTTGTCGTCATAACACCGGCCGCTAGTGCTTCCGGTGCGGGATGGAGGCTGGAGAGAAGATGAGCAAACTGGAGCTGCTGAGCGTCTTCCTGAACGAGCGGCTGGCCGCCGCCGCCGCGGAGATCTTCGGGGCGGTGAAGGAGGCGGTGGCCGAACAGCAGCGCGCGCTGCTGCGCTCCAGGGAGGAGAACCAGCGGCTCCGGAAGCTGCTGCACGCGGCTGCCCAGCGGCTGCAGCTGCAGCTGGATCCAGGTGAGGATCAGGAGCTTCTCATCCACTGCTGGATGGGTGGATGCTCTGCTGCTTCACTTTGAACATCTCAGCAATTTGATCTACTTTAAAAATACGAAAAAGGAAAATAAAACATAAGGCTGGCTGAGGGGTTTATTACGGAAGAGGATTAGGGCCACTGGAAAAAAAAAAAA